TCTTGAAATTACGGTTTATTTTGTGAAAATAGAAATTTTCGCTCTCTTTTCTGATTAACTGCCCGCTACTAATATCAGAAATGAAGGCAAACTCCGTCCGGAAATTGAACTGATGTCAATCGAACAACCCCAGTGCAAACGGAATATAAAACATTTAACCAGGCGTATATAGTGGTTCGTGTGATCTTTCAAAAGCAAATGTCACACAGCATTGGAAGATTTTATTTTTATATTTTTTTTTTTTGCAGTTTTTCAATTTCGAAAAACGAAATTTTAATCTTTAGATGGTTTTTTTTTTATTAAAATAGAAAAAAATTATATTTTCGGTATTTCTACTCTTTATTCTATTGTTTCTACAACTGAAGCTGTTTAAAGAATTAAAATTTGCAAATAGCGAAAATAACTCATTTCTCTCGTTAAAGGAATGTGGAAAATAAATATTTCTTTGATTATTGTAATTGTTAGTTCTATTAAATTTGAATTTCGCGCCATTATAATTCTGTAAATTTCCGTCCAGATGGCATGAAAACTCTCTCGTTAATGAGATGAAGTAGACGGCAATTATATTAGAGACGCCTTGAAATTTTATTATTTCGAGTTTTAATTATTTGTGGCAAATAAAAATAATTGTATTGTTAGTAATACATAATTTAATTATTTATTTTCAAAAAATTTTTGAATAAAATTCTATTTTGATTAATTTACTATAAGATTTAACATTAAAAGAAATTTGTGTCGATAATTCTTTTTCCAGACTTTATTATTTTATTTTATAAAATCAGTGGAATTTTTTGATTAAAATTTGAAATGTAAACGTAGCACTCGCTTTGCTTTTCAATCTGATACATTTAAAATCACTGACAATCGAGACGAAATCAATATTACCACTCTTTAAAAGCATAAAATAAATTGAAAATACACGAATAAAATTCTTTTCACTGAGAAAATTCTTTTTTGTTTGTTAGAATTTTAATTACAGGGTTCCTATTTTTATAAAAAAAAAAAATATATGTCTCTCTTAATTAAAAAAATATGTTAATGCGTAAAAAATATGTAAAAACGTTAATGAATCTACAAAATTTAAAAGATATAATAAATTTTTATTTAAATTTATGATCTTAATTTAAAAACAAATTTTTTTTTTGCATGTAAAATTTAGTAATTAATAATATAAAATAATATAATATCCTGGCGATAAATTTATGAATAATTAACTTTTTATATTTATGATTTTTATAATCATAAAACACATACATGATAGATACAATATTTATAATATTAAATTAATTGCCTTTGCTCTTTTTAACAAATTCTAAATATATATATTTACAATTTTTTCTGTTTGACATTAAAAGTTATATTCTTTTGTTAAAGTTTCCGCTTCTTTAAACTTGAGCCGTAAGTCTTTTCCAACTTCTCACCTTGCTTCGTTAGGTCAAAGTAAATTCTAGAATTGCTCTTGTAACAACAAGTTCTCTTGAGAGACATAAGTTTTCGCATCGACGATATGAATTGCACCTCTGATTGGTTTGTGGTTCCATTAAAATGTCTCTTGCATTTCAAAACTTTATCCTCGGTATTTTATTTCAATTTATAAAAATTACAAAAATTCTTTTCTTTTCTGATTAATTAACTGACAAATAAATATTGTAAATATAATAAAAAAATAAAATAAAAAAATATAACAAAATATACTTTGCTTCTACAAATCAATTATTTATATCAATTAATTAAATATATATTATATTAAAAAATGTAACTAATTTCAGAAGAATTTGAATTATTAACATTTTTCAAAAATCTAAGTTCTTTAAAATTTTTAATTAAATTTATTGGAAATTGGAATTTTATACAATTTCAAATTAAAACCTTTTGAAGTTCATCTATTTAAAAAAAAATGGTTCTTCAAGAATTAAGTTATTTAAAAAGAAATTATTGTCAAAATCAGAAAAAATTGAAGGTTTTGTATTAGAATTCGTGGTAAAATTTCATAGTTTATGAGACAAAGAAAAAAGACACCAAAATTCAAAATTTTGTCATGAATTTTAAAAATTTAATTTTTTTTTATTATTATTATTGTAGAATGTTTTGAATGGAAAAATTGATATAAAATAGTTTTATAGAATAATTTTTCAATGATTAATTTGACTGAGAAGAGAATATATTTCGAAGTAAAATTCTTTTTATTATGTATCGAATTTTAGTCGAGATGTAATGAACATTTTTATATAACAAAATAACTGTTAACGAGAGATTTGAATTCTATTTTCATTCAACATGGAAATATTGATTTTATGTTAATGAAGAAGAGTAAAAATATAACATTTTTAGCTTCATTTTTGTAATGAAACTTATTTGAGTTTGATGATGTGGTTTCAATTTGATATGCATATTTTACTATTGAATTCAAAGGTTATTAAAAACTTTGTTTTAAATAATTATTTTATTTTTATAATTTAAATTTATTGTTTGTTTTTTAGTTAAATTATATTCATTTTTAAGTTGAATAAAATGCACTGCTTCTTAAAATTTACATTGTCTCTAGAGTAAAGAATAAAAATTTTGTCTTTTAGGGATAGAAATCGTTATTTTACTCTCTAGTGACCAAAAATGTTATTTTACTCCCTGGTGACTAAAATCGTTATTTTACTACCTAGTGACTAAAATCGTTATTTTACTCTTTAGTTATTTTACTGTTTACTTTAAATTCTAGTAAAAATAGGCCCTTTTTCTCTCTTGTGGTAAAAATTACAATTTTACTCTTTAGTTATATTAGAGTAAGAATTTTTGAAACGTGGCACCTAAAATTAAAAAAATTCATTCTTTTACAAAATGTGGTTTTTCAAATAGTGTTTTATATCAAAAAAACACTATATCAAAGGATTTGACAAAAAATTTTTTTTTTGCCTCATAAACTGTGAAACTACCACGAATTCTAATACAAAACCTTCAAAATTTTTTTCTGTTTCTGACCAGAATAAATTTTTTAATATTATTTAATTATTTCAAAAGTTTTAATGCAATTATCTTGATAAATAACAAAATTCTTTACAAGAATTCAATTATTTTTAAGAATTTAAAAATAATTCTTTTCAAATTTTGATTATTTTCATAAATAACAATATTCATCACAAGAATTCAATTATTTTCAAAACTAATAAAATTTTTCGAAGAAATTTAATTATTTTTAAAAATTTGAACGAATGTCTCGTTAAGAATTTAATTATCTTTATAAATAGCAAAATTTTTCGCCAAAAATTCAATTATTTTCAAAAATTTAAATAAAATTCTTTGCAAAATTTCAATTATTTTCAAAAGTTTTTCGCAATTCAATGTTTTTCAATATTTACTACTTTCATCAAATTTATCAAATAATTTAATTATTTAAAAAAATTTTTGTTACAGTAATTCAACGTAAACATTCAATTATTTTTATAAATAATAAAATTTCAATTTAAGAATTCAATTATTTTCATTGTAAAATTTCCAATATTTTTAATACAATTTTAAATAAATTTAAGATTTAAATAAATTCAAATTTAAGAAACATTCCATTATTCAATAAAATAATAAAATTCGTTGAAATAATTCAACTATTTTCATAAATAACTTTTCATTCGTCACAGAAAATTAATTATTTTCAAAAATTTTTAAGTAATTCTGCAAATAATTCAATTATCTTGATAAACAACAAAGTTTTCCACATATAATCAATTAATTTAAGGAATTTTAATAAAATACTCTTCAAAAATTCAATTATTTCGATAAATATCAAAATTCATCATAAGAATTCAATTCTTTTGAAAACTAATAAAATACTTTCCGAAAATTAAATTATTTTCAAAATTTTTTAAAAATTCCCGTTAAGAATTAAATTACCTTTTTTTATAAATAAATAGCGAAAACCTTTTCAAGAATTAAATTAATGTCAAAAATTTTAATAATATTCTTGGTAAACTTTCAATTATTTAAACGAAATTTAATCAAAATTCTTCGCAGAAATTCAATTATTTTTATAAATTATTATTTAAATTCTTCTCAGGAATTCAATTGTTTTAAAAAATTTTAATAAAATTCAAAAAGTTTTCAATTATTTTCAAAAATTGTTATAAAATTCTTTAATATAATAAATTTTAGTAAAATTTTAATTCAATTCCTTAAAAGAAATTAATTATTTTCAAAAGTTGTTAATAAAATTCTTTGTAAAAATTAAATTCTAAGAAACATTCAATTATTGAATAAATTATTTATTTTTTTTATTTAAATAATTGAATTCTCGTAGAATTTTCTAATAAAAATTGATTTAAAAATGAATAATTTTAGTTAAAGTTTTAGATAATAATTAAATATTAAGAGCATTAGGGGGGAATATTTAGAAATATTTGAATTTTGAAAAAAAAAACATTTTGAATTTAAAATTTTTGAAAATCTTAACTCCTATGGAAAAATAACAATGATTAAATATTTATTTAAAAAAAAAGTTGCTGATGTTTTTGAATAACTTTACAATTAAAGAAATTCGTAAATAAATTTATTGGACCTCTTTTTCAGCATCTAATCATTTTTAGAGTGAATCAGAATATTCTTTTCTGGTCAGGGAAAAAGTTAAAATTTTGTCTGGAAATCAGGGAAAAGTCAGGGAAAAATGAAACTAAATTTTTGTGGCAACCTTGATTTTACTCTCTGGTGATAAATCGACTATTTTCCTCCATTGTGTTTAAGAAAGTTTTATTTCTCCCTATGTAGAGCCAAAAAAGGCACTTTTATTATTTTTTCTTATTAATTTTAATTTATTTTGATAATTATTTTATTATGGTAAAAATTACATACTAGATTATACATTATGGGAATTTTTTTATTTTCCAAAATGATTGAAAAAATTGAAAAAGCTGAAGAAATTGAAAAAAGAAAATCACTTTCTCACTTTATAAAATCTAAATTGGAAAGAATATATATTTTCACGAATTATTGTACTTTATCTCAGCATTTTTATTTTCCAGAAGGATTCTCGACATTTAACAGACGATGGTAAAGTTTGCTTCACCATCTGCGCTGCTGCATTCAAGTTTAAGGTAAGTGCATAACATATGAATGAATGATTCAGTAAAATATCCTCCAATCATTTTCAATAAATCCATATCAATTTTCTTCAAAATGTTATAAATGCAATATCGCAAAGTGACTATTTTTAGATCCATCAATTTAATATTCCCTTATTTCACTCAGTTGGATAAATAATTTTTCAAGAATTTTTACATATTCTTTATTTCCTTCTCAAAAAAAAAAAAAAAAAAGAAGAGAAAAATCAAGAAAAGTAGAAAATGAAAAAAAATTTGTTGACATACAGATAATTAATATACGTCTACAAGTTATTCGTTTTCTTTTTTTTTTCACGTACAATTTGCATGTAAAGTGGTTTACTGAAGTTCTCAGAATGACTGTCAAGAGTGACGAACGACTTTGAAAGCTTAAATCTTATTGGGTATATGGATATCCGGAAGCTCTCTAGGTAATAAAAGTTTCTTTGAACGGAGAAACGCATTCTGTCCTTTGCAGATTCTTGTTCGTGATTTTTCAAAAAAAAAAGAAAAGAAAAGAAAAAAATGTCAAGGTTTTTGTTGAATCGAGAGAGATAGAGATAGGGAGTTAAGTCGAGTCGATTGAAAATCATACCCAAAGGATTTCGTGTTCCCGAAGTTAACGAAATAAAACCTATGTAAGGAATATATCAGAGAAATTCTTGAAAAATATTTCGTGGGGGCGACGGAGAGTAAATCATTTTGTTATCTCCGTGTTTCCGGTGAAAAAAGAGATGTCAATGTAAAAGTCCTTGTAAGTTGAGAAAGAATTTTGGCGCATTTTATACTTAATAGATAGTTTACGATGAGTTCTCTATATATATACTTATTCATTTCCTCTAACTTTGACATTGAAATATTGAAAATTTTTATTTCGAAATTCAATTTTTTCCTTTTTTGAAATTTGTATTTTTCCTTTTTGTATTTTTCCTCTTTGTATTTTTATCTTTAGTAATTTCTTTTCTTTTGAAATTGAAATTTTGCAAAAATGCCTCGTACTGCTATTTTGAAAATATAAAGATTTGTAAGAATTGAAATAAAATTATTATATTTATTATTTCCGAGTTTATAGAATCATTGTCAACGAATCAGATTTTCGAAATTAAAGATGTCGGAACCAAAATGGCGTTCTTTAGAAGAAAAAAAAATTATCCGATCCGCTTTAAAGTCATCGTTACTTTTGGGGTTTCTTGCTTGGCTGATTACGAATCTGACATAAAATACTTAATCACTGACCCGGAAAACCCCTGAGTAACGAATTTAAAGCGTGTCTGATAAACTTTTTCTTTTGAAAAGACGCCCGACATGTTGAATTTCAAAAAAAACTTGCAAAGGATTCGTAAGCATCAAATCCAAAAATTTCCGATTGAATCTAATCAAAATTTATAAAAAATAAATACGTCCGCCATATTGGAATCGCCATTTTTAATTTTGAAAATTGTAGACAAATGGCAAAATTCATTAATTAATGATACCTAATAATTAATAATTTGAATTCACAATATTAATTACTAATAACTAAATTAATTAATAATATTAATAATGCTACAGAAATATTATAAAGCAAATACAAAAATATTTGTAAATAATATTAATTTTAATAATAACAATGATTGCTATCAATGGAATGATTTATCATTAATTAATAAATAATAAAACTCATCGCAGAATTTTAATTATTTTTAATACAAATTTTAATGGAATTTCTCGCAAAATGTAATTATTCTTAATAATTTTATTAAAATCCATCAAAAAAATTTAATTATTTTATAAAGCTCTCTTATAATTTATTTATTAGAATTTAAGTATTATTGTCAATACATTTTTAATTAAATTTCTAGAAAGAATAAAATTATTTTCAAAAATTTTAAAAAAATTCTTTTTAACAAAAATTCAATTTTTTTTTTCAAATAATTTTAATAAAGTTCTTCGTAGAAATTTAATTAATTTCAATAATTACAAAAATTCTCGTCAAAATCTCAATTATCTTTATAAATAATAAAATTTTTCTGAAAAATTCAATTATTTTCAAAAATTTTAATAAAATTTTTAACAGAATTTCAATTTTTTTTTTTCAATACAATTTTCTTCAAATTTCTCAAAAAATGAAATTATTCTCAAAAATGTTATTTAAATTTGTCAAGAGAATTCAATTATTCAAAAATTTGTTGATAAAATTCTTCATGAAAATTCAATTTTAAGAAACATTTAATTATTTAATACAATATTTATTTTTGTATTTAAATAATTGAATTCTCGTAGAATTTTCTAATAAATATTGATTTAAAAATGAATTTCAGTTAAAATTTCAGATTATAATTGAATATTAAAAACATTATAGCGTAAATTTTTTAAAAATAATTGAATTTTCAAAAGGTTTTAAATTAAAATCTTTGAAAATTTGAACTTTTCATACTTTTAATTAAAAATTCTGTAGAATTAATTGTTTTCAAAAAGTTTGATAGGATTTTTTTTAATTATTTGAAGTTTTTATTTTCTAATAAATATTTAATTGAAAATTGTCAGAATAATCGAAATTTCGTAAAATTAAATTGTAAACAAATGGATTTGAAAATACTCAAAGAACTTTTCAAAGAAGTTACAGCTTAACAAAGTAGCAAGTTTTAATTATTATTAAACAGTCGAAGTGATCGAAGTAAATTTATAAAAATTCAATTATTTTCAATATCTACTATTTCAATAAAATTTCACAAATGAATTCAATTAGGTATTTAGAAAGAATTATTAAAAAATTCGTCTCAAAAATTCAATTATTTTCAAAAGTAATAAAATTCTTCGCAGAAATTCAATTACTGTCAAAAAATAAATTATTTTCAAAAATTTTAATAAAATTCTTGCAAAATTTCAATTATTTTCAAAAACTTTTCTTAATTCACTCAAATTTTTTTTTACAAAGATTCAATTATTTTTAATACAATTTTAATCAAATTTCTGGAAAAATGTAATAATAATATTAATTAGTAGTATTAATGTAATAATATTAACATTAATATTAAATTCTTTTTAACAGAAGTCGTTTCCTTGGAAACAATTTGCAATTTTATTTGCAAATAAAAGTTAAACCTTTTTAACTGTCAAAAACACATAATATTTAAATTTATTTATTTACGAAGGGAAATTTTATTTGTTTACTTGAAAGCACACACGTAACATTAAAGGTTTTCATTGTTTATATTGTCATTCCTCATGTGTTTTACTGAGTAGAATGGAAATTATTATTATTGGTCGTATTTCACAGTCATTTGAACAAATTGTTACTATAGTAGTTTTGCAAAGTAGGTTGAACTATTAAAACTGGCGACTGTCCAGAAATGCTTTAAGGTCAAATCTCTTTCTATTTCATTTCCAATATTGTTACTTTGTCACTCCCTCTATTTGAATTTCTACACCAGATGTAAACCGCAAAACGTGAGAGTAGTAACTTTTGTTACATAAAAGAACTTTTTCATTCAACTTGGAGAAATATATATATATATAGAAAGTGTTCCTTTATACACAGAGCATATGTTCCGGACTGTTAAAATAACATTTTTTTTTCGTGCTCTTTTTTGGTGAAGTTTAGCTTTCAAAAGACATTTTTGATGGTTTTTTGCTCTAAAAGTGAAATTTGAAAAGAATTTTTTCTTCTATTTTAATAGTAAATGGGAAAAATTCGATTTTTTCTTTTATTAAATTTGAATTTCGCGCCATTATAATTCTAGAAATTTCCGCCCAGATGGCATGAAAATTCGCTCGTAAACGAGATGAAATTCACCTAGTTGAATTCTTTAATTGACTTAAGATTGATTTAAATTGATTTTATTATTGATTTCAATTTCGAATTGAATTAAAATTAAAAATGAATTGATTTAAAACAAATTCCAGTTAAAATTTTAGAAAATAATTGAATATTTAAAACTTTATAACAGGAATTTTAGGAATTAATTAAATTTTAAAAGAATTTTAAAATTAAATTCTTCGAAAGTTTAATAGAAGCAAAAGTATAAAAATATTTAAATTCTTATTTTTAAAAATTATTAATTACATTATTTTTCTTTAAAAATTCTAAAAGTTTTTGATTAATTTTATTCCAAAAATTCGAAAAAAAGTAATTGAATTTTAGAAGAATTACAGTTACAATTTTTAAAAATAATTAAATTTCAAAATAAATAAGATTAAGTTTTTTAATTTTTGTTTAACGAAAAGTATTGAAGTTTTGAATAATTTAATTTAGAAATTCGTATAAAATTTGATTTAAATTAATGAATTAAATTCTTAATTTTTTAAAAAATTTTAAACAAAAACTGTTAGAAATTATTGTTAATAAAATAAAGTTTATTATTCATAGAATTTTTTTTTACAATTAAAATCGCAATGTCAATATTGAATCAATATTTTAAAATCGAACATAGTTTCTACATTCAGTCTCGAGGAAAAATAATATCGTCCAAATTTTCGCCAAATATTTAGCCAATTGTTAACCTTTAAAATTTTGCCAATAAGAAATTTTTAATTTTAGTAGAAAATTTATCTTCTGAATTACAAATATTTGTTGTCATAGGTATATATAAAGCATCTCGTTCTTTTTCCCTAGTATAGATATAAATGAAAAATACACAAGCTCGATAAATTTTCTAATTATTTTTCAAACAAAATAAAGTAGACATGAAATTCAATTAAAAGAGTCTACGTATATATTTTTTAACCATTTTAAATTGTAGCAAAGAAAAGTTTTTGTTGATTTATTTCGAGGTAAAAAGAAAAAGATTTTAATGAGTATCAGAAAGGAAAAGAAACTTTTATAGAAAAGTTTTGTCTTAACAAAATTTCTCGTCGACTCTATTTTCAGTCATTTTTTTTCTCCTCTTCTTCTTTTTTTTTTGCTTGCGTGCAAAATACAACAAACTTGTACTATGAGAAGGACTAGAGGGTTTGTTTAATACTTTGTTGAATGTATATATTTGTTCAGCATTATCGGTGTAAACTTTTCAGTA